TGGTCACCCACCTAACTACTAATCTGCCGGTACGTTGCTTAAATAGGGCTGAGCGAACGGGAAGCCTTGTTTTCAACGTCCTGTGGTCGTATGTGAAAGAAATGCTGTGTTCTACAAAATATAATGTAAGACTGATATGACTGCAGCAGCCATGAAGACGCACCCATCATCTACAGCCAGTAGGGAGGGCGATGAACTTTGCGTATTTCATTGGGTGTTCTCTCTTAAATGACTAAAAGCCATCTAGAAGTATAGATTTCTTCTTTGTATAGCTATGTGTAGCAGCACTAACTGTAAAGAACCCAAGCACCGTTTAAACTTGTCCACTTTGTCCATTACTAGCAGGGGTTTTAAATAACGGGGACCCTAAAACAGTACCTTGACAGACGGCAGATCAGACGGGAGAACTTGCTGTCTCCTTGTCACGGGCAGGGTCCGTAGGCCACCCTAGGCCCCCTCAAAGTCCCTTAGAGTATATAGGCTGAGGAATGCCCTCTCTTCGGCTCCTCAGCGGTTCGATCAATTGTTACCGTCGACCTACTGCTATCTACCTATCGTGCCTGGACATCCAGGCCTTTCTTTATAGACATTCTTTTCCAACCCATCATCAGAACACTTATCAGTATGTTCTGTCCTTCCAGCGTACCCCTATTAAACAGGTCAATATTGACATGTACTCTGATGCCTCATGGGGATCAGATCCAGATAACTTCAAGTCATTTAGTGGCTACGTTATGAAGCTCAATGGCTCTACTGTGTCATGGTCAGCAAAGCGTCAGTCCTGCGTTACAAAGTCCACATGTGAAGCTGAGTACATGGCTTGCTCACATGCTACCGCACATCTGCTTTGGACCAAGAGTGCTATCATGGAGATCTCAACTGCCATTCTGCCATCACCATCCATTTTCTCTGGTCTGAATTCAGACAGTCAATCAGCTATTGCTCTCCTCAAGGGTCATCAGATTAACGCACGCTCAAAGCACATCGGTGTTCACTTCCATTTCGTTCGTGAATGATATCTTGCAGGAGAATTCCAAGTCAAGTATGTCCCATCAGCGTCCAATACTGTAGACATATGTACCAAATCACTACCACGACCAGCCCTGATTGGCTTTGTGAAAGATATAGGTTTAGAGTGAGGATGAATGGTGTGGGATACTATTGACATGCATGAATGGGATCATTGGATACGGAAGAAAGGGGACTGTTGGAGAAGGAGGCTTCTGCCGGTATCCATTACCCAATTGGTATTAGCGTTGTTATTATGTAGCTTGATCCTTCGGGATCTCAATTCCAATACAAATATACCTCACTACTTCAACATCGATGAGAGGTATCTTGTTGTATATCGTACTATCTGGCGGGGAAAGCGCAACCGTGAGCTCAGAGTTGTAGGTCGGTTGAGAAACGGATTGCATCAGCAGTGCATGGTCAAACCGCTGTGTATTCGGAGTATCTGTATTGCTAGTCTTATCTAGAATCACAATCATTGCGTGATCTTCTTGTGTTTGATTCTCACTTACCGTTGCGCTGACATTCCCTACCTAAGTCATCATCCCTGCCCGCTATGCCTTTACTATCGCCACATCGCGTACCTGCTACGATGAACATTTCATTCGATCCAAAGGACAGCATGCGGATTTTCGTTCTTGGCTAATTCGAATATTCTAGCTCCCAAGATGCCCGATCTTAGCAATGCGGCTTCGAGCACACAAGTCTCGTATTGGATCGGGATCGATAGAATCAACACGAATAGGGACATTCAAGCTGGGTTCGATGCTATTAAGGGGTCAGATGGAACCGTCAGTTATACGGCGTTCTATGAATGGTATCCAAATCCCGCGACTTTCATATCCGCCAGCGACTTCACAGCTAGCGCGGGCGACGGTGAGTACTATGATCATGCTACAGGCCGACACCTTCGAATGGTAGCTGAGAATACGACATAGTTGTGTCCATCACAGTCACAGTCATCCAGAGTGGTACTGCCGCGGCGGCCGGCTTCGTCAACAAAAACACCAACAAGTCATATAACACGCCCGTGTTCTACTCTCCGGACGAGGACTCGCAGTTCGTTCGAGTTGTGTGGGTGTGTTCCGCACTTCACATGTATATATCTCCATGCGTGAAGAGGTTTTGGCAAATAGCTCACTTATTCTCCTCCGAGGTGGACTTGAGGGTATCACCTGATAGCTGAAACGAGAGCCGAATCAACGTATATGCAATACTTCCGGCATCCACCTTCACAAATTGGATTCTAGCCGCTTCCATTTTTCCGCTGCGATTACATCCTCTCGAAAGAGCGACATGTTGGTCCTGCTTTCCAGCTTTGGACATGACCAGATTGTTGTTGAGTAAGACTGTGAAGTATACCAAGACAGTAGCTACATGCGTAAATAACATCGCCCGTGATGGAGTCAGCCACGCAGCTCTCACTCACAACAGGCTGTTCAGGAAGAAGACTCTGCTTCCTTCCCTCCCCCGTTCTCGTTGGTAGCAGCCAACTTAGCCAGTCGCTCCTGCTCTACCTTCTTGCCATACTCAGTCAAGACGCCGTCTTTCGAGGTAATCCGGACCGGTCCTCCATGGTTCCTACGCCCATCTCCAGGCGTTCGCTCGATCTTTTCGCGATGCGGTGGGTCATTTTTGTGCGCAGCAGCCCAAGCTAGGACGTCTTCCACAGGTTTGCTTCGTGGATTTGAGGTTGACGAGCTGTCTTGTGGAGAAGATGATGGGTTGTTGTCAGGGACTGGAGAGGCCATTATGATTTGATCGTAGTTGCCGTGGGTTGTGGATGAAGTGCATGACACACACATGCAGACGTTGCTAGCATAGCTTTGGCTCGTGTGTCGTGATGAGATGCCGTTAAGAATTCACTTTGATACCTAAATGACGATGTCAAGAACTCGGCCAGTTGGTCACGTCGTGATGAAGGCGAGCTTTTGCTGCCTCTCTCGAGGTGAGTGGAAGGCCCGTGCACGGCGCCAAACCTGCACCTCATCCTTCAGTAAGCATTCCTGCCATCTCACTCACAAATCGCGTTTGCTCATATCATTAAGTGCAGTTTCAGCTGCAACGAACGTGGAAAAGCATATAATTAGAGGCTTGTTAAGCTTGTGTCTACACATGTCCAGCCTTGATGGCCTGCCGCAGCTCTCTACCCCTCGCAAAGATGACTGAAAGCCACCTACTGCCGGGACATGTTTGGGGCCCAGAACATACTAAAATCGATGTTACGCATTCAGTGTCCCGTATCGATATGTACGAATATGGTGGCCTTACGAAAGCTACTAATATCCGCCTACTACACCTCAATCCAGGGTCTATCAACCCAAACCATCTTCATGGTACCATGTACGAGTACAGTCAGGCAGATGCGCCACAATACGAATGCCTTTCTTACGTTTGGGGCACTGGAGACAAAGCGGCCTCAATACGCATCGGTAAAGATGCGAGGATCATCGCGATCACTGAGTCTCTACACCGCGTCTTGCTCAGTCTTCGGCACGTTTCGAAGGAGAGGGTTCTTTGGGTCGATTAGATTTGTATCAATCAAGATAATGTTTCAGAAAGAAACAGACAAGTGCAACGAATGGGCAGGGTTTATCATCGCGCAGAAAGAGACATTGTATGGCTCGGTGATGACACCGGTGATGGCCAGACAACGATGGTTAAACTGGCCGCAGCTTTGGGATATGTGGACATCTTTCACATTATGCAACCCATATGATAAGCGGTCAGAAGCAGCAAAGACAGCCTGGCTGATGTATGGCCCGAGCGGCGGTTCTACTGCTGAGCGGAGTGGTCTTGATGACATCTTCCGAACAAACCCAGTCTGGAACAGAGTCTGGATTGTACAAGAGGTTCTGCTGGCGAAAGAGGTTGTACTGCGTCGCGGGAACATCGACATCATCCTCGACCAACTGTGGGGTTTTCTTGTAGCAGCGACATCCGTTCTGACATTGGGCCACGACCTGATGGATCCATTGATTGACCTCCAGCAACTTTGCTATAACAGATTCAGGCAGAAGAGAAACAAGCGCTCGCTAGAAGGATTGCTTTTCGATTATTGGGAACTCGAAGCCACAGATCCACGTGACAAGATCTATGCCCTACTGGGAATCGCACGGTACATCGACATTACCGTTGACTATTCAAAGACGATGGCCCAAAATCAGCTGGACACCGCAAAAGCTTTGATGACACAGTCGAGAACCCTCAATCTGCTTTGTTTTGATCGTTGCGTTCTAGAGAGACCACTTGACGGTCTCCCATTGCCTACTTGGATGTTCGATTATCATGGTTTCGCTACACCCGAGGTCTGGACGCTTTCCAACAACGATTTTGACGGATTTGGTTCACTTGTGGGTTCTCTGCTGGTGACGTTCAAACTCAAAGGGGAGAGTCGTTCAATTTCGTTGCGGAGCGCCTTGAAGCATCTGGACTGTTCATCGATACGCTTGGAGATGTGCAGGGATCATTCCATGCCCCTCAATATCAACATGAAGAAGCCGGTTGTCTTTCAGCTGGGACTCATCTACCGAAAAGCATAAAGAAATATCGCATGGATGGCTGGGAATAATAGAAATATAAAATTACTGTTGGCCGTATTATGGATTTGGGCAACACGATGCAAGCGACAACACAAATTGACGTATATTCTGGAGATTATGCCTATACTCTCGAATGTTCCAGTACTTGAGCTCGAGCTGGAAGAATGATATTCAGAAATTACAAGCTGTTCCCTAACCACCCCATCTAAACGCGTGTGTGGATCATACAGGAGATCCTCGTTGCGAAAGAGATCCTGCTGTTGACTGAATCCGGGAGTATTGACCTGGACTGGCTGGATAGCTTGCTTCAAGCTGAATTCGAAGGTCGCTTGGAGGGCTTTAAGGCGATGTTCATCGAAGCTATGTTTAGCCGTCTTGGAACAATGTATAAACATCGGAGGCCTCGGGAGCAAGAAGAAATATCGTTGTTGAAGCTACTTTGCGATTACGAAAAATGGGACGTTTCAGATGCTCGGGACAGGATTTATGCTCTTCTTGGACTGGCCCAAGCGACTGGATTGCTACCTGACTATACGAAACTGCTCAAACAAGTGTTCACAGAAACTGCAAAAGCTGTGGTGATGGAGCAGCAAAATCTCAATTTGATCTGCTTCGACCATGTGACTGATTTTGCGGACACGGCCCCTCGATCAAAAGGGCTACCTTCCTGGGTACTAGATTTCGCAGTCAAGGGGTTTACGTGGGATGATACCTCCCGTTGCATCGACGAGAGGTACAACAACAAAGAATTGTTCTGTGCAGGTGGCGTACAAGAAAGCATTGTGCCATCTTACAGGTCCACTGGGGCGTTTCCAACCGCTTGCGGGAGGTTTGTTGGCACGATAGCTAACCTCAAAACCAGGCAAACGGATCACAGATTCACAGAGGATCTAATCGTACCGGTTTGAGAGGAGCATCCTATTTTTGATTCGATCTTGGAGACTTTAATACATCCGGATAACGAACGTCTCTCAGAGTGGAAAAAAGACTATTACCGTGCGCAATTCGTGGGACGGAAGAATTTTATTCCAGAAAAGACAGCGCAAGAGCTATGGAACTCTGAGGTGTGCGTTTCTTTCAGATCAGAATGCATCGAGACATCGTCTTGCAGTGACGAAAACGCACAAGCTTCTTGTCTCCGTGAATAGCGATGCGAAGGTCGGCGATTAGATCTACGTACTAGCAACGGCCTGCCTGCGTTCCGCTTGTGCTGAGGAGGGTGAGGGATGTCGAAAACTACACATTCCACTCAAAGATCGGCACCGCATACGTATACGGCATCATGAACGGTGAAGCGTGGACGCAAGGAGACAAGCACCCAGAGAAGACATATCGCATTATCTAAGTAGGCAGAGCGCGCTCAAGACTATACTCGAGATTAGAGGAATATAGTTCTAATAACGTCACCTCTTGACATAAAGTCAGGGTTCTTTCTTCTCAAATCACAGATGTGTCAGGAAGAGATCAAGAGCGCCCTTGATTTGGAGGAAGAAAGGATCCTGGCCTTATGCTAGGATCGCTTACCTCGCAAATCTTGTTGGCTCTGAGGGAGAGCAACTCCCACGATTGCGGCTCCTAGCTTCTTCGACGGACTGTTGCGGGCCCCACTTCGTAGGGGAGCTGCTTGCCTTGCACGAGCACTCATGCAAATAACCTGTCATCAAATTTTTATTGAAGGTTGTAGCATTCTGCCAAAACTAGCATGCAATGAGAGGTATATCCAAAACCAAACTCCACTGTTGGATGCTCATCACAACAAAACGCCTTTCCCATGCATATGCAAGACCCGCAACACGCAATGCAATACCCGAGACTACCAATCGCTCGGTCCAAAAGTACTTCCCTTCGGCACCTCTTTGTACGAGCACGCTGTGTAGTCGCAGCCCTGTCCGTCGTCAGCACACCTGCACATTCCAAGAGCTTAAGCTTAGGGGTTTAACATACCTGTTTGTACACCTCGGTACCCCACCACTTGAACCCTTTTATCCACCCTGGGAACACAATTCCGAAGAAGATAACCACCACACCAAACGCAAGACCTGAGTCAAGCGCAGCGCTCAGCATCATATTATACTTCCTCCACCAATTCTTCCTACGATTTCGAATCTCATAGTTGAAGATGTAGCAAACGATCGCCCAAACCGAAAAGTTCAGCCCTGTGGCTGGTGGGATCCAACTCAAACTGCCAAACACGACGGCGAGGTTGACTTTGCGAAGGATTGACTTGCGGTTGTTGCGCGCAAAGTACCACAAGATAATGGGCGAGACGGCGCCGATGAGGAAAGCCCAGACGAGTGGTCGGTAGAGGGCGCCGGGACCGAAGAAGCGCTTGGGTCCTACGACACCCCAAAGGATGCTGCCGTTGAAGTGGACGCGTGCGATGGGGCAGTTGAAGCCGTTGATGGCTTCGGTAGTGCATATACCGGGGATGTAGTTCAGCATCCAATTCAGAACGCCAATTTGGGTGAGGCTGGAGACGATGGTGACGGTGAGCTGGAGTCTGAACAAGAGCCGTGGTGGAATTTTCATGTAATGGCCAAGCTTCAGGTCGGAAGCGAACTTCAGGCCTTGGGTCGAGGAGATATATCCAAAGGTTGTGAAGACCATGTTAGCAACGGGGCGACCAGGGAACACACCACCGCAGATCAGTTGGCAAATGAGGTAGATGCTGCTCTGCTGATTGGTGATGGCCATGACGATGCCGATAGGGATGAACAGGATTGCGCCAATACCGAGAGCCAATAAAAGACCGTACCACGGGAGGTGGATTGGATAGTACTCGACAACGTACATGCCGACAGCTGCCATGGTGACTCCGGTAAGTAGATACCATGTCATTGGCGCGTCTGGATATCTTCGCATCAGTCGATTGTGCACGTCTTCAGCGTCTAGAAGGTCTTCCATGTCAGGCTCAGACGTTGTGCTATTCCTGTGGCGATAAGCGTTAGGGGAGGCGGTGCGTCCGTTACCTTCTGGAAGGTTATTGAGGGGCTCATAATCGGTTGCAGGTGCCTTCCGGATCTCTGCCCACGAACGGCTCCACTGCCTCCAAATGTCTTTGCCATGCCAGAGGGCGGTGTGCGATAGCAGAGCTGTCAAGGCAGCGAATTGAAGCGCGTAGCTGAGCACGTAAGTGATAGGCAGGAACACTCGGCTGTAATTCTTGTATGCCTCTGCATCGAACAGAAAGTCCTCGGTCAAAATTTTGCTGACGTCGTACGGACGACCAGTATTATCCCAGACCGCAGCTGAGAGGATCGGCATGTAGGATGAATACATGACGTTTGCGTAGTCTGCAGTCTGTAAGCACCCGACGTAGAGATGAAGTTCAAGACACGTACACATGATTGGCGCCGCAATCCACATGACAAGGACAAGCCCACCAAGAATGTTGAGGGCAGCCCAGAATGGTGTCACAAGTGGAGATCCAATGTAGGCAATCTGTGCCCAGTCGAACGTTACAGGGAACAAGCCCAAGCCGGACGAAACTCCGAACTACAGCAAACTCAGCGTATGATAGGTCGTCAACTAAGGAAGACTTACAAGGTTGGCAATGATGACATTCTTGGGCGCAAACCAGGTGATGACGCTGAAGTAACTCAGAGCAGGGAAGAGCAATCCAGGCAGGAAGTAGAACGCAACGGAACCAGAAAAGACGCGTGTGAAGAACTTCCGGGGTGAGATAGTCCACCCATCCGCAGGCTTGTTCTCATCCTTATGCAATGCGGTAAACATGGCAGTGGAAACCAACGTGCTTGGCCAGATCATGCCACTCGGTCGTACTAAGTACCGTCTTGTAAGTCCAGCGAGGGAGTATCCAAGGATCTGTGTGGAAAAAATGAGCAAGACCTGATACATGATGCCCAGATCTTGATGGTAGAACTTCACTTGCTCGACGATAACCTGCAGCCAGATTAGCATACAGAACGCGTGTCATGATGCGTTGTACTGACATCTGTAGCAAATGCGAATCCAAAAGACACGTTGCTGCTGACATAAACGCAGCAATGCTCTTTTTCATTCCAGCGGCCTTTTGCAAGATAGAGTCGAAATCGACGGGTCCAAGGTGTGTTAGGTGGTAGAGCGAGGCTGGCTCGGCAGCCATCGACGAAGGTTTCTTCGGGGTCGTCCGGTCGTTTGAAGATTCGGTCCCAAAACAGACCAAGAGGGTGAACAAGCAATAACGCAATAATAGGAGTAAGGCTGACGCTAGGGTATCGTAGGGAGAAAAACAGATTGGTTGAAGAACCGGCAATAGCAAATATCAAGGATAGAATCCACATCCGTGGTGTATCAATGGATAAGGTGGTGTTATCAGTAGCAGCGACGGACGCCCGGACTTGGGCGTAGGGAGAGTTGTCAGATGGGTTGCCTTTCTGATCGTGCAAGTCTTCGCCGTAAGAAACATCATCGTCGTCCTCGTCCTCGTCGATGTCGATATTGGTACTGGATGCTGATGACTTGGTGCTCCCGAGCACAGGTGAAACTCCAGCCATCGAGGGGTCTAATGCGCTGGCGTTGAAACGAGCCTCAAATTGGGCTTCTTGTCCTCCAAGCTCCTCGTTGAGCGTCGTGCTGCTACCACTTTCATCCCTCAGTCTCCGTCTCGATGCGGAATTCGTGAGAATGGGCGAGTTCCGTGCAGATCCATGGTTGCTTCTCAGGGATGTGTTCGACACGGCGTTTGAGAGCCTGCTCTTCGCCTTCTTCTTTCCATGACGTGCGGCGCTGGTCACATGATCCTCGTCAGATTGATCGGGGCTCAACGAGAGTATCGGTAAACCTCCATAGGATCCTGGGAAACATATTCAGTATGCATCTTCAGGGTGCCAGTGTCAACCAAAGGTCGTGGATGCGCACGTCGCCTGAGCGCACTCAAGCGCGGAATTCGAAATGATTCATTAACTTACCTGTGCCCTGCGCTGGGGATGATCGTACCAGCAGCGGTGTGCGCGACATCCTTTTCTTGACAGACGGAGAAGAGTTCTCTGTGGGATGTGCTGAGAGATCGCGCTCGTCATCTGCTGCGGCTGCGGCTATGTTCCTTGCTTTTTGGCGGAAGTCATGTAACTCGTAGCTGCTGCCTGCGGGAGAGGAAGGGCCCGGGTCGTAGCTCGTGTCACGAAGAACAGGCGAAGAAACGACGGGCGGGAACGACGCTTCTTCAGTCATAAATATGCCCAGGTGGGTTCGTAGGCCACAGGGGCGCGTGGCTATTTGCGCCGGTATATCACACGAAACCCTTTTCGTGCGAAGTCGGGGTATCAGACGATCAGATAAAATCGTAATCTTTCGATGATCTGATTAGATAAAGTTTCGGAATGTGAGCTTGTTCTAGAATTAGGCCAATAAAGACTGCATCTCAGGCGGGACGCATTAACGTGGAAAAGCTAGCCGGCCCTCGGAGCGCGAAGCTCGGTTGGCCGTCAAACAAGGTGCGGCACGGGCGGCTGCGCATCATCACCCACGCATTTGCTGGGTCCGTGGACTGCAATGCTCCTCGGGCCTGGTGATGAGAAAAATTCAACTTGCAGTTCGATCAAAATGCTCTAACGTTTGCAAGTACATTTATTGTACACTAGATAATTATGCAAATGGGGCCAGATGTATTGACACAGATCGGTGTGATGTCATGCAGTCGCCAACCCCGCTTATTTTACATCTACATGTCCAGGGATGCCCACATGGCCTTCACGTTGACTGTGACCAGCGGTGAGGCCTGAGACCATGCTAATGGCACCCTCGACATCGTCCTTGTTATACAGAAAGAGCCCTTGCAGTGCTGCTGTGCTCACCGACTCAGCCAACCCCAATTCCTTGACCTTAGCCATGAATCTCTGCTTGGCTTCACCGTTCGCGTCGAACTCGGCGTAGAATCGATCCCATAGCTGCTCGATCTGATGCTCAGTAGCTTCACCGAGTCTTATAGTCATGTCGACGCGTCCAGGTCGCACCAGGGCCTCGTCCAACCTTTCAACGTGGTTAGTCGTGAGAAAGATGATGCGCTCTTCAGCACTAGCAACACCGTCCAGAGCATTGAGTAGTCCAGAAAATGTTACAGACGCGCTAGCAAAGCCATCTGCTCCCGGCGTCTTTCGGTTCATGAAGGCAACGTCCACGTCTTCAAGGAGTACGACAGTCCGCCGTGGCACGTTGGTCAACAGGTGATTCAGGCGGTCATCCGTCAGACCTCGCTCACTGACGTTCAGAATGGCAATGTTAAAATCCAAATGCCCTGCCACAGCTTGAATGAACGAGCTCTTGCCTGTTCCCGGAGGACCATAGAGCAGATAGCCTCTCCTGTATGGTATGCCGCGGTCGAGGTACCATGCGCGCGAGGAGATGAAAGCCTCCATATCCTCAACGATCCTCTCTTTTACACCTGCCTCCAACACCACTGAGTCCAACGGACGCTTGCGCTTTGGTTGTCCAAATGGCTGCCAACTAGTGCCCATGGAGTTGTAGATGACCGTCTTACCCTCTTGCGACTGCTGGTAAAGTTGGTGTGCTTCAGCGAAGATATCCTCGAACACGCCGCGGTGGCTGTACAAAGTCGTGAGGCTGATCGTTTCGAAGGGTGTACCGTCTCGCATATCGAAGGCATCGCGTGTACGTTGTCTATCGACAAGTAGGAATGCGTTCTTGTAGCGCATGAAGTGCCGGCCAGGGCCAGGAACGAAGGAGAAGTGCGCAGCGAGCGCTGGGCCATCCTGGGGCGCCGAGGTTCGAACCTGGAGATGGTGCATACGAGGATCGATGCGGTTGAGCAATTTCGTGAGCAGGCCACTTGGCGCAGCTGATGCGCCTGTCGAGCGCTGGGCGCCGGTCAATTGCGCCCTATGATACGTGGTCATCCATTGAAGGAGCCAAGGGTAGGCATCGTCGTGGCGTGTGATCTCGAGATCGATGAGCATTCGTCGTCGTAGGAACGCGGTGCCATGTTGAAGTCCTTTCTGTCCTGTTCGCGCTGCGACTCCTAACGCTGCGAGTCCGAAGCCCTGTGGCTATTGTGAGCACACTCCATCTCGGCGGGCCAGGAAAGGGATCGATCGTACGGCAGTAAAGAACGGATTGTCGGTGAACTGTGAATATAGCGAGCCGGCATTGTCGCCGCCGCTCGTGGTGAGTTGCTTCAACAGCTGCGATTTCGGGTCATTGGAGTCCATGAGCTTGAGATGCACGCCACAAAAACTTTGGGAAAGCGCGGATTGCACTAGGCCCGGAAGGAACAGCTGTGCGCCAAGTATTGTTTGGGTAGGTTGCACGTCAAGTGCTTCATTCGTGTCAAGACTTGCACAGAAAATTTAGGCATTACATTTCAACCTCAGGTGATTGTGGTGCGAAGAGGGTAGTTGTTGTGAACATTTGTGTTGAGTGCTTCCGTTTGGACAGAGGTCAAACGGTCCCTCGTCGCGTCGCGTCTTCTCAGCAAAAGTGGGGCGGCTGCGGCTGCGCCCAAGCTCCTTCCCCCAGAATGATATCAACCAAACGGTCAGCCAAGACTAGCCCTGGAGCCTTCTCCATGCCATCTCTTTCTCCTCTCACGAACCTTGCAAAAGGCACCTTCAGCCTTCTGCTTCTTTTCAACCTATCCAACATGGCCACCGTCACTATAGGTAGGGCCTACTTCGATGCTCTTCTCCGAAGGTGAGTATATCATCTATGCAAAGCTGAAACCAAAGCCTTGCGTATTTGCTAACAACACAACAACAGAGCCCAATTTGTGAGTCGACTGTTCGCTAGGCAACCGCTTCTTCAACATACTGAACAATGCCAGCACACTTCTGGGCATGAGTTCGAGCTTGCTCCTGATCTGTTCAGCAATGTCACTATCTCAAAGGAGGAGCATGACTATCTAGTAGGTCCCTCTTCTCGGGTTCACACACACTCAAGTGCTGCTTTGTCCAATACCCGGCTTTTTTTTTTCGCTCTCAAGCACATCTCCTAGCAAAGTCACTGACGAACTACAGCAACAATGCTGTCGAGACTACAGTACGTTTATTAGGATGCTGCCGCGAGTGGCTCGGCTCACGTGCTCGATACTGACCAGCTCTAGCTCTGCTCAAGAGCGCCCTGTTCCGTGGAGGTCTGACCATGGACACTCTGAATACACTGCTAGCTGGTGAAAGCGAGGCTGCCAACGACGATACTTCACAATACGAGTACAGCTCGGAGAAGACTTTCGTGAAACCTAGGACGGTCCCCGTCACCATGAGAGCGCCCCACGGCAACGACAGCCCGCCAACCCCAGACGACACTGAGATTGGCAGTGACCGTCTCGATCTACCTCAACGTCGCCCTTTGCACCGAGCCTACAGCAACGATCAGACTGAGTCCTGCGTGGACAACTATTCGGAGGTAGACGAGGAGGACCACAGGCAAGAGCGTGCATATCGCGAACGCATCCCAGTTCATGACCAGCGCACCATCCTCATCACCAACCTTGCGGATCGTACTACCCACAAGGATATCGCTGATGTGATTCGTGGAGGACGACTGCTCGATATCTTTCTCCGCAACGACCGTTCTGCTACTGTATCTTTTGTTGAAGGTGCAGCGGACTTTTTGGCATACGTCAAGCGCAACGACATCTACCTACACGCTAAGCGTGTATGTCCTTTTGTTCGAAGCACACATGTGTATAAGGCTAATTTGATTGTAGCTCGAGTTCCGTTGGGCCGATCGTCAATTCCACGTACCACATCACATCTCCAACAAGATCGCAGGTGGAGCGTCAAGGAATCTTATCGTGAGCGGTGTGGCTGGTAGGGTCACTGAGGAGCAGATCCGAGATCAACTCGACCATATCCACAATCTCGTTGTTGTCGATATTCACTTTCTCAACGGAGACGCATACATATCGACCAACTCGATCCACAACGCGCTATTCGCCAGGACATGTATGATGTCTCGCACGATCTACAAGGGTACGCGAATCGACTGGGCACCAGACGAGTGCGCAGCTCCGTTGCCTCAACCTAGCATGAGAACCCGTCTGCCAGTGATGCGTGTTCCATCGATTCCTCTCTCAATGACAAACACTTATGCGCTCCTCGACACCGGCTCCGACATCGACTCAGACGCGCAAACTGAATCCTACATATCCAATGGCATCCGCCTCGATCGCAACGACTGGGCCAAGGCTGCTGTAGCTTGAACATACTATGCTCGTGCTGGCTTAAATGCCACTAGTCGACAGTTCGTAACTACTGCCGGCCCCCAGGGCGAGAGCAGTCCGGCGAACACACTGCGCTGGCTCCTTGTAGGTTCGAGAGCCACCCTGCCCTCACAAAGTCTGTATTCCCGCCCGGTCAGCAACTTACAATCGGTGGTTGTAGTTCCTTTCACCCGCTGTACGGTGCACTTGGGGTTGTTGTTTCCTAATGTTTGTATGGCGTTTCCAGGAGCATCGATATTGTCAGTACCTAGATACCCGCTTTCTTTCGAGCCTTTCTTACCTAAAATAATTCAATCGATCGACTCTAGCTTTGGCATGATAGCGCACTGTATAGGATACTCTAACCATACTATTTATGTGGTATTGACCAATCATGATCAGGTGGAGCTTAGCTTCGGCTGTGGGAGCTTACCCCATCTTCACTCGCGTGTCACCATCTCACCTCTCACTATCTTTAACCCTTTCGTGCACCACTAAAATCATACCAAGAAACAAAGTGATGCCTACTATCAAGGTCGCGGTGATTCAGTTGTACCCCAAAGTACGCTCTCCTACAGCATAACATCACCATGACCGCATACTCATCCGCCCTAGCCCTTGGATCTCGAGCACAACTTCAAAAAAGCATCAAATTTCGTTCGGTCTGCCGCAGCCCAAGGCGCTGAGCTTGCCGTGCTCCCAGAATACCATCTCACGAATTGGCTACCGAAAGACCCATCATTCGCTGGTCTTTGTGACCAATGGGAGACGTATCTGAAGAAGTATCAAGAGCTGGCGAAAGAGTGTGGGATTTGCATTGTGCCCGGGACTATTGTCGAGGGGCATAGGGGAGAGGAGAAAGAGGAGGATCGGTTGCTGAATGTGGCGTATTTCATTGGGAGGGATGGGGAGATTCTGGGGAAGTATGTCAAGAAGAACCTTTGGTATGTCGACACCCTCTTCTACTGTGCTAATAATCCCCTCAACGTCTTCTTCTTTCCTGCTCTCATCGCATCCACATCTGAGAGCATGGCTATCAGCCAAATGACGTCTGACCACGTCACAGGGGCCCAGAACGCGACCACCTAACCTCGTCCATGCACGCCCCCCATGAAGTCTTCGATACCCCAATCGGCAAAGTCGGCATGCTCATCTGCTGGGATCTCGCGTTCCCCGAGGCCTTCCGCGAGCTCATCGCCGCAGGCGCAAAGATCATCATCATTCCCACTTTCTGGACCCTCAATGACTGTAATGCCGCTGGCCTGGCCAGAAATCCGGCAAGTGAGGCGCTATTCTTGGATAGTATGTTGACGACTAGGGCGTTTGAGAATACGTGTGCGGTTGTGTTTGCGAATGCGGGGGGGCCGCCGGGGAAGGGGTATGCGGGGTTGAGTCAGGTCAGTTCTCCATCTCTCACCTCCAGCTCTGATTTCTCTCTTGCGTGGAAAGTATTTGCTGATGTGTAGTAGGTTACGGTGCCGTTTGTGGGGCCCCTGGCGAGATTGGGGAGTGCAGCTGAGGGAATGGTTGTTGTGGATGTTGATATGCAGACGCTGGAGGATGCGGAGGCGAACTATCAGATCAGGAGTGATATTTCGAGAAGTGATTGGCACTACGATTATAGGCACTCGCGGTTGGACAATCCGCACTCAGGGGACAATGAAGGGACAAGGGATGAGCAAGAGAGTAGGGATTAGTACGTCGACTCGCTTTGCACAGCCGTTTAGCGCTGGTGTAAGGTCTTGACGTTGACTAGACTTTGCATTGCTCAGGATAGCACCTGATAGATCCTAGTAGTAGCCATAAAGTAGTCGAGATCGCTCCGACCAACACGAGCGAAAGAAGCAAAAGTACGCCGAAGTCCATCGCTCACGGTGCAGCGGAGCGTGCTCCATGAAACCCGGGATATAATCACCTCTAGCGGATAACATATCCGAATGACGCCATCTATCTTGTTGGCAAGCTCCAGCAGACAATCCCCAGTTTCATTCCGAAGAAGCTGAGCTGAACTCCATTATCTTTGACCGATGTTGCGTACACCAATGAAGTGCCATGGTAACCGAGCATCAAGCACCGAGCATCGAGGGTTACATAAGAATCCTCCTCGGTAATGGTGACTGAACACCAATCCAAACGCCAGAACAAGAGCCATCAAACGCCATGCCAACTCTTGATCGTTTCAGCTCTGTTCACTCGTGCTGCCTTCACTGTCCGAGGTGTCGTTGGTGCGTGTGCAATTCTTGACGGTCCTGGTCACGCCATGCTCGGTGGAGATAGTCTCGCCGACCACAACGACTCTTGTTTTCCCCAGCTCCAGGAATATCGTCTCGTCCGCGGCAAGCTTTGCCGCAACATCTTTCTCATAGACTCTCTTGTAGAACGCTTGAAAAGCGTTCTCATTCTCGAAGGTCATCTCAGACACGCAGTCGTAATCGATGTCCTGAGCATCGCCCCGCAAGAGGAGTGGAGGCCTGTCAGGGTTCGCTGGCCCACCGAAACCTTTACGCGTGATGCGAGCCAGATATTGTCGTGTAAACTTGAATGGCCAGTTTCCCGCGCAGAGACGTTGTGCTAGTGGGATGTGCACGCTCTCGTAGTGGTCCTTGAACTCCTCTGGCGAGAGGTTTGGTTTCCTGGTGACAAAGAGGATGATGGTGAATGTCATATCGGCGACTGTCACAGCAGCAGGCAAAGGATGAAAGATGGTCAAAAACTTGAACTTAAAGTTGGTATGGAGCCTGACAGCGCGGGAATGCACTCCCAGAAGCTCCGTGGAGGACGCTGTGGCTTATAAGTCTGCTGGTTCTTTCAGGCGGCGGAACCAGTCAGCGCCCCTAGCCTCGTGCGCTGAGTCTCCGAAGTGGCTCATGATGCGACGCTGAGCAGGCGGATGGGCAGGATCTCTCTCCGCCTGCACGGCACAGGTTGAAGCCAGCTCGCCAGACCTGCTAACACGACAGACTGAGGCGGTGGACACTCAGTCGGAGTAAGGCATGAAACAAGGCCGCCGCGTCGTGATTCGCCCGCGGCACAATGGCGGGTAGTCAGATTGTGTCAGTGCGCGCCAGCGCCTGCCCCGCGACGCACACGCAAATTATCGAATTCTCGACAAAGGCCGGAGCCTCATCGATCACCAGCCCGCCGTCACCGCACGCTCGACGCCCTGCCACCGCACCCGACGCGCCCGTCGCACGCAGCACACACGATCGCATCACCATGAGCCGGTACCAGGACGGCTCGGACGCCGAGGAGGAGATCATGGCCGGCGAGTACCGCGAGCAGGTGCAGTACGACGGCATGGAGGAGCTCGACCGCATGCCCTCGATTGGCAGCAACCAGGACATTCACGCCCAGCTGCAGGCCGCCGCGACGCCCCTCGAGTTCCAGGCGACGCTGGAGACCAAGTTTGCCAGCTACGACAACTACTGCAACCTGTTCCACTACATCCTCAACTCGGACGGCCCCGTCGACCTCGAGGTCCCCAACGTAAGAACAACAGGCTTGGCAGAGTGAAAGTGAGGGCGGCACAGCTAACATGGCAGACAGTACTACTGGGCGTGGGACGTCATCGATGAGTTTATCTACCAGTTCAACAGCTTTTGCAGCTATCGCCAGAAGGTCGCCCTGAAGAACGACAACCAGGAGGAGATCCAGCTCCTGCGCGAGAACCCGAACACATGGGGCTGCTACAGCGTCCTCAACGTCCTGTACTCGCTCATCCAGCGGTCGCAGATCAACGAGCAGCTCGCAGCCATGAAGCGCGGCGAGGACTCGAACCTGTACGCTGGCGAGTACGGCCAGCGCCCCTTGTACAAGATGCTGGGGTACTTCTCCATCATCGGTCTCCTGCGTGTGCACTGCCTGTTGGGTGACTTCAGCCTTGCGCTCAAGACCCTCGACGACATCGAGCTCAACAAGAAGGCCCAGTTCGCCCGCGTCATGGCCGCCCACTTCACCACGTACTACTATGTTGGTTTCTCCTACATGATGATGCGCCGCTACACCGACGCCATCCGCATGTTCTCCCACATCCTCGTCTACGTCTCGAGGACCAAGAACTTCCAGAAGAACGCTCAGTACGACTCGATCACAAAGAAGAACGACCAGATGTACGCACTCGTCGCCATCTGCGTTGCCTTCCAGCCCACAAGGCTCGACGACACCATCCACACCGCTCTCCGCGAGAAGTACGGCGAGCAGTTCAACAAGCTGCAGCGCGGTGGACCCGAGTCCCTTCCCCTGTTTGAGGAGCTGTTCCGCACCGCTTGCCCTAAGTTCATCAGCCCCACACCGCCCGACTTTGACAACCCGGAGGTCAACATCGACCCCGTCGAGCACCACCTTCGCATCTTCATGGATGAGGTTAAGAACAACATGATGTCGCCCACGGTCAAGAGCTACCTGAAGCTGTACACCACCATGGATCTTAAGAAGCTCGCTGGTTTCCTCGAGGTTGAGCCAGAGAAGCTGAGGTGCTGGTTGCTCGTCAACAAGCAGAGGAATAGGCAAATCAGGTGGAACGAGGGTGGCCTGCTGGAGGGTGATGTGGTTTCCGCCGGCGACCTTGACTACGCCATGGAGGGTGTAAGTGCAACCAACTATGAAACAATGAACTGTGTAACTAATACTAAGCAGGACCTCATCCACGTCTCCGAGGCGAAGGTTGGCCGGAAACTCGTCGATTGGTACCTCAGGAACTTGGCTCGCACTTACTAGAGAGTAAAACGACATGAGAGGTACTTCAGAGATATCCTTGGCCAAATCGAGATAGAGCATCCGGCTTGGAGTTGGGGGTTTACGGCATCATGGAAAAGCATTTTTGCGGATAATTGAGCAAACAGCTCAGGGGATCAATGAAGCGATAGAGTCACAGGTGCGTCGAAGCTCTGCTGAAGGCCGTGCCACCACCGCATGTGTGGAAGCAGAGTGGTGGGAGGGGAAAAGAGCACCGCGTCCAGAGGTGCAGAGGGTGAGCAGTGGAAGTTTGATGATATATCCGTCAATGAACAAATCGCACCTAGTGAGAGTATTTCAGTCTTGCTAGCCTGCATATGGAATGGCTGTATCACATTGATGATGACCTTGCTCCAGTCAGGGTGCTGACTGGGCCACCAACACAAGTTCACACGAACCACGTCTTCTTGACCAACGCCGTCCAAACAAGCTTTCGCGGATAAGTGCAAGGGCCGGGTATATGACAAAGTGTCACTTTAGGACGCTGAAATTCGTATAACAACATGGGCACGATCTTCAGTTGATGCAGCCTGCCCCTCATCGGTCGCTCCTGCCTTCGCTGAAACCCCTCTCTCGTTCGACGACACCGCCTGCTTTCAAAAAACGACGCGTACCTCACCAATCCTCGACGCGTCACTGCTCACAACACGTCACGAGCTCAATCGTGTGCTCCACAGCGTCCGTCCTTGTTATCAGTTCTCAGCTCCTCACGGCGGGGTAGATAACGTCCACCTACGACCAGCAGCACCCAAGAGACAGAAAGAGAAGACAGCGCGCAGTGTACCTACACAAACAAGATGGCTCCAGACTTGAACTCAATTCCAGTATCACCACGTCCCAGCATAACAAGCAACCCCTCACACCCGCAGACCGGCACATCAAGTTCTCGCCAGAACTCCACACCAGCCTCTCGACGAGCCTCGCAGATCTACCCCATGAGCCCACCACCACTCCCTCTGGCCTCACCAGGCGGCACACTCCCTCCAGCAACCCAACACCCCCACGCCTTCCCACCCCTATCGCCCAACTTCCCCAGCGCCGACGCAGGCAACATCCCCATGCGGCACCCACGCCCCATGACCGCCGCCGAAATGCACCTCGAGCTCGAGAAAGAACAAGAAGCGGTGGTCAACAGATTGACACGAGAACTCTCTGCTCTGCGCGCCCACTCCGCCTCCGTAGCCTCCACAACGTCTTCCATCGCCTCGAACGCGCTCCTCGACGTCACAGACCCCGCCGGCAGCGCAGCGCACTCCGGCGCCGCGCTGCAGGGAGCCACGCACCCCACGTCCTCGCGGCGGCACAGGAGTAGCAGCAGTGTGTCAAGGAGTGGGGCATTGCCCATGGGCGTGCACAGTATTCCGCAGAGTCATAGGCAGAGTGTTAGTAGCCAGCAGGGCGGTGGGGTCGAGATGAGGAGGAGCAGTAGTATTGTTAGTACGCCGAGGTACGAGGAGGTGGCGCTGCAGAGGGCGGAGTTGGAGGAGGTTAAGCGGGAGAATGAGGTGTTGAAGCAGAGGATTCGGGAGTTGGAGAGGGCGATTAGGGGTGGAGAGGAGGGGGTGAGGGGCAGGAGTGGTGCGCCTGCAGAGGGGGGTTCATGAAGGTGCCTCGGTGATCTGGGATGAGATCACACCGAGAGGTACGGCACGTTAAGCACTTATTGATGCGCCGCATCGTTTCTTCGCTACGGCTAAGGAGTTTGTATCTTCATTTGACGAGAGCAAGCAGGCTTGGGCACGTTTTCAGGTGCTCTCGCTTCCAGTGCTAGATAATCAGTGAAGGCGTTACAGCACGGTGTGCTATTAGGACGAGAAGCAGGCGTTCTGGCGACTGAGTTTACAGTTCCAATTACAGATACAGGACATGTCAAGCCGCTGTTGAGCATCTCTTATCTTGTAGCGTGCGTCTTATCATGCATTGCTTTTCCTCTATCTTGAGGCTAACGAACTAATCGTCCTACCAAACGCAAATCAACCGAGCACAAGCACCAAACCCCCGCGTCGATCATATGCACTGCATGGTCATCTCTGGGTAAAGTGTCGACGAATCTTGTGCTCGATTCGGGCCAACACTGGGACTGCGCAGAGCGAAGTCAAGAAAGGGAGGACAGCTAAGTGCTTGGAAGTCGTCATGTGTGCAAAGCAATGCTGCACGGCATTGACGACCTTCATACATGTCTTGACTGGGAAATGGAACACTAGAACTTACGCAAATACATATCGTCAAGAGAGCAAAGACGTGCTTGTGGTCTGACTTTACAGTAGTGGATAACGGCAACTTGGACCGAGGCGGCTTTACGGCTCAACAGGCTCCAAAAGATGAGATCATTCGGAACCACAACATCACATCGGCAACAGCCCTCTCCCGATAGCGACAAATTCAGCAAAGACAAGAAACTGCTTCTGGACCTGGAGCATCTGTAGTCGCTTTACGAAACACTACAAACCGCAATCGTTCTGGTACGTCACTCTGGATTACCATTTGATTTGAAGATAGCTCTTTATCGCCGTCTCCGGATACTGCACCTGATCCTAACGTCATGGAGGAACTGCAGTCACTCCGTACTCACGCACCACTCTCGAATCGCACAATGGCGATACCGGAATCCATAATCGAAGCCACAGAAAAAGGCATGGTCGGCGAGAACCTGCTATGTTCCAGTGTGCCGTCGATGGAGAAAGCATCTTCCGACAAGGCAGAAGAGCCGAAGATCTTGACCAGAGCAGAGGAAGCGTGTAAGAGTGTGAAGAGCGGGCTGGAGGAGAGGCGGACGGGTGAGGGACATGTGAAGTTCAAAGGTGTCGATGTGTAGAGGAAGGTTGGGAAAGAGGGTTAGGGAGGGGGTTGTGATTCAGAGATTTGTTCCTCGAGTGCGCCTTGCTGTCCTACGCTATGCTATACAACAACCGTCTTTTGTTCCTCGATGAAGCCCCTCCACAGCTCGTCCGTCGCATACAAGCGTTACTCAGTGCCCTTCTCTCAACATGCTCAGCCGACCCGACGACTACCAGTCATCTTCCGGTTATCAGCATGTCTCTTCGCCTTGAGCGCCTCCCGTCTCCTCTTCTTCCATGCACGGTTGATGTCCCCCCGGTTCTCCCAGAACCACTCCCTGAACTTGCTCTCTGGCTTCTCCTCCCCTCCGTCAACTGGCCCTGCAGCCCCATCGTTCTCGTCTTCCTCAGCAACGTCAGCCAACGCCTGACTGTTCTTCTTGGTATTGATGTCGAGTTGTCGACCAGCCTCCACACCGGCATCACTAAGCTCCTCTTCATCCTCGTCCGCCTCTTGACTCCCCTTGCGCCAGTCAAATGAGAAGCGTTGTCCGATTGCTGCGGTGTCGGGCGTTGGTGCTGCACTTCGGAGGCCACGCCATTCTAGATCTCGCTGCGTAAATGGCGTTGTGGGCGCATTTTCTGTGGGCTCACCGAGAGGCTCGCCGGTTGGAGAGGTGTTTTCGTTGCCGAAGAAGGAGAAGGATGTGTTGATGGGCGGTGGTTTTGTTGGCGTGGAAAGCGAGGTTGGAGGTGCGCGTTTGAAGAGGGCTTCGAGGGGGTGGATTTCTTTTGATTCTGCTACGGTGGGAGCTGATGTCGGGGCCGGGGTTGGGGCGGATTTGGATGCAGGTTTGGTCTGTACGGGAGAGGGTGTGGGCGAGGCTGCCTCTTCATCTGCGTCTGAGTCTGAATCTTCCCGCTCAGATTCGGAGGATGATTCGTCTTCGGACGAGCTCGAGACCACACTGGACTCCTCGTCCAACTCGGACTCGGACGATGACTCCGGCGGCGGCGTGGCCTTTTTCTTCTTCTCTTTCTTCGCCGGTTTAGCCACTTCCTTCTTCACGATCGGCCGTCCCTGCGAATCTGTCGGCGGCGGCTCAACTAACGGCTTCCCATCCACAAGCTGTAGTACTCTGCTATGCGCCGCCTTCTTCGTCTCGGGCTCCACAACGACACCGTCTTCGTCGACCCATCCTACGCCGTCGATGTAGTCAACTGGCGGTTTCTTCTCGGTTGACACCTTGGCTGCTTTGAGGAAAGAAGGGGTCTTCGTGTTCTTCTCGAATTCGTGGACGATGACTTCTTTAGTTTTGGTCCTGCGCTCCTTCTTGTCTTTCTTATCCTTCTTTTTCTCGTTGCGCGAGTGCTCAGTCGCAGCGACGGGCTCTAGCTTCGCTTTGAAGAGGAGTTCGGGCTCTTTGGTGTACTTGGACGGCTTGGATGGGTGCTTGTCGTCTTTGCTCGTCTTGTCCTTCTTGTCTTTGCTGCTCTTGCTCTTGGCTGATGTGGGTTCGGTCCAGCCGCGCTTGACTCTGCGGTCGTCTGGTAGCTCGACGCCGTCGAAGACGCCGGGTGACCTTTTCCTCTTCTCAGACTTTTCTGAGTCCTCTTTCTTCGCTTTCTTCTCTTTCTTGTCCTTCTTGTCCTTCTTTGAGCGCTTCGCCGGCTTGTCTTCGGCGTCGGCCTCTTCGCGCGCTTTGCGCTTCTCTGCCTTGGCCATCTCGATGCGCACTCTTGAGCCTTTCAGCGTGGTGCCGTTGAGTTTCTTCTTGATTCTCTGCGCCTCTTGCTCCGGCAGCTCGACGTAGCCGAAGCCTCTCTCCGGGAATGTTTCAACGGTGTGGTAGGAGATGTTGCGCGCAAGCGGTAAGATGGACGGCGCGAGGTAGACTTTCAGCAGCTCAGGCTTGAGCGGGGTGATGTGCAGTCTGACAGTCTCGGTATCGTCCGCTTCTGTGGTAGGCGCCTGTGTCGCGGGCATTGAGTCGCCGTGGTCGTGTGGTTGCGACAAAGCTCGACGCTGTCGTTCGGCGCCCGTGAGCGAAGCTTGACCGCTGCAGTGGGGAGGAAAATGTAAGCCTTAGCGCGTGGTCGATCACGGTCAAAGCGTGGGATACCCCTCGGGCTGGGAGGTTGAAGCGCAAGCCGAACCCCGTCAACCCTCAGGACTGTGTGAGATCGAGTGCAACGCGCAGAAGACAGCTGATTACCAGTGTTGTCGTGTTCTTGTAAGCAACGCGACGCCTGTCCATCGGAGTCCGAGCGGACCCTTGTCAGCAGCACCCAACAGCCCCCGGCGCCTCCAGCAACCCATTGCGCAGCTGTACAACGACCACCGGTAACCATGAGGAGATACCTTCTCGTCGTCCTGACTTTCTTCTCCTTTCTATCACTATCTCTCGCCGCATGCAGGTCTCTCCTCGGCTCGTGACATGTGCCAATGACTGACAACGCCAGCACCGACATCCTTCTGCAAATGCACCTGCTTCGGCAACAGCACCATCGTCGCCCTCGACGCGCCCTCGACCACGTCAAAACCAAATCTTGAACTGCGCCCGCGAGCGAGCAAAAAGTCGTGCAACAACTGCAATCGCCAGTTCTGTTTAAGCTATAGCTTTTGCAAGGGCGAGAAGGAGGAGAACGTCTTCACGACATGTTTCCAGCGGGATTCGACCAAAGACCAAGTCGTGGTGCTGGCGTTCATAGCGGCGACGGTGGGACTGCTGGGTTATGCGGGCGTGAGGCCCTGGGTGGATCAGTGGAGAGAGGTAGGTCGATCAAGTCCCAGGTCGCGAAGACGAGATCCATACTAACTTCACACACAGCGCAGACGAAGCTACATGCCCGTCGCAGGCCAGGGGAATCTATAGAATGCTGGTCGGCCGATGGTCGATATGCAATTATAGACACGAATGTCAGAGATACCCAGCGCCCGTCTACATGTGCCGTCTGACTCCGCGATGCATACATGATAGTGAAACAGCGATGTACAGGCTGGAAGTCGAGTATAGTACACGGAGGTCCTTGCCTCCTTTTTTTTTTTTTTTTGCTCAACGTGAGAGTCCTACTCTTTCTTGGTGGATCCCCACATCCACCCCAGCCAGCCCTTGCCTGTCTGCTCAATCTTCTGAGTCGCCTTCGCGGCCTCCTGGTCCAGCGGACCGCCGACAACTGGTGTCGATGTGGACGTTGATGTCGACAGAGTGCTCGACACCTTGTCCGACACTTTATCCCGCGCCTCCTGCACCGCAGCAGTCACACTAGCAACACCAGCATTGACACCCGAACTCTGCGCCTCCGCCTCCGCCTTCTTGAACTCCGCCAGCGCAGCCTTTCTCTGCTCCTCCAGCAGCTTCTCCTCCTTCCAGTCACCATGCAGCCACCACAGCAGCTTGGAAGGTGCTTTCCTCTCTGTCTTCTTCTTCTCCATCGCCTCCTCCTCCTCGGCAATTCCTGTCACGAGCGCCGTCTGCGCGGGCGATGCGGTTCCAGCTGCGACGGCGGACCGGGCGATTTCGAGGATCTTGGCTTGTTCGCGCTCTTGGTCGGCGAAGTAGATTGCGCGTTTCCGGCGGTTGTAGACGATCATGTCTCCTATCGAGAAGACAGCGAGGACACCAACACAGCCTACACAACCTATTAGCAGCATATTCCCCTACTCCTGACAGCTCAAGGCAGTAGCATTGGATGTGTTGCAAGCAGCAGACATACCCGTAGCGAAAATCAGCCCATAAACCGTAAACCTATGCGCCGCATCTGCAGCCATCCTCCCATACAAATACGCATAATCCCACTTTGTCACCTGTGCCAACTTCGCCCTATTCGCTGCCTCTCTCAGCCTCTTGACTTTCTGCTGCGGCGTCTCGTTCTTGGGTGCTGGGTCGGCGAATTGCAGCGTCGAGGCGCGTCCGCCTGGTCTTGTGTGCGCCCATACTCCGGTCGCTGTGAAGCGCGTGGCGTCTTTGACGTGCTTCGACATGCTGGGTGTGTGGAGAGGGAGAGGGCGTGGGCGTCGAGGGTTGGATGTGGAGATCGGGTGATTTGACAAAAGTTGGGATGATCGAGGCTGCCAAGACTTGAGATCGTTGAGATCGGCAAGCGGAATCACGGAGGTACCGACCTCATCTTTCAATCATGCATTTTGTGATTGGATCTTTGTATACGACTGGGACTCAGTATCAATTTAGTTCTTGCTCGAAGATGTACTGAAAGTTCTGAGGAAGGAGTGAAGGGTGCAATGTCCATTTTGATCTGTGCAAACGCGCTTCTCTTCACTTTCGACTTCCTCCATCGACAAAGACACTATGCCCGTTCGCGTGCACCTCCTTGAGATATCCATCACAATCTCATCTTGAATTGGTCTCCTCAAAAACAACCTCTGATTGTCACGATGAGCGAGAACAATCGGTTGCCGGCCAACATGGACCTGGATGCCATCCTCCGGACACTCGCCAGTCTACCGAAGCCTGAAGAGCAAGGGCAGCACCAGCCACAAGACAGCCATTTGTCGCATCAACTACCCACAGCAGATCCACGTCTCGTTGGGCGTTCGCCACAACTTCAGTCCATTCCAAAGCCTCAAGTGCGGTCCTCCACGCCGTTGATTGATCCTGCGAGTATCATAGACTGGAAGTCAGGGCTGCGTTGCGTTAGCAAGATTGCCGCCCAAAACCCTGAGTTTGCTGCTTCTATCCGCAAGCTGACCAAAGACCAAGAACGCAACGTCAGTCAATGGGAAGCCGGGCGAGCACGACTCATCGAAGAGCAAGCCCTGAAGAAGGAGAATGAACAGACACATCGAGCTGCTTTGTAGGTTCTGCATGATACAGGCAATTCGAAACACGTAATGCTTATTCTTGTAGATCTCTGCCAGGCCTTCTAGAGAACACTCCACTACTCCGAGTACGACTGTCCAGCCTCGATCACACATTGGAAGCTAATCAGCACTAGACTCCAGAGCGCGAACAAGAAGAACTCAATCAGTACGACGCCAAGGTCTATCGAGCCAGCAAAGCGATGGTTGAGTCGCAGACTTCGTCGTTGAAGGTCCTGGGTGTGCCATTCTTTGGTGTGCGGCCGCATCTCCTGACGAGTGAGGATGAAGAAATTCGCATAGGTGCTGACGGAAGCCCCACCAAGATCACTCAAGGTCAGGTCTTGGAGCTTCAAAGAAGGATGTTGACCCATCTGCTGGATTTGTATGGGGACTGATCACTACCTAGTGTCCCACGGCATCGAAAGAGCGGAGGTGGGACGGAGTATACTTTTCAAATCTGCGTCAGTGAGATGTCTACGCCCGAGAAGCCTCGCTGTCCAACGAATCTGTCCTCTCCGCATATTAGCTTTGCGTACTTTCAGGTTGATTTTGCCCATGACCTTCAAGTCGGTACTTGAGCATCGCACATGCTGCCATGTGCAGGCCATTTCACCCGGCCACAGCTGAGATTGCAGGCACAACATCGGCGACACCACCCAGGAACCGAATCGTTCACTCCCATGCAACATTCGAGGTTCGTTGCACTTTGCACGCGATTGTGTTGCTGGTTGCCAATAGAAAGCCTGTTTACAAAACAGGCAAGAGCGACACGGGTGTTTGCGTCACTGGCACACAACAACACAAACGGAGCTTCACTGTCACACTGATTGCCTCTCTTGTAATTGGCTCTCGTTTCATTAATCTTAGAGAGCTTTCATCTCACCTTCACCTCGTGTCGCCACTCTAAGAAGCGTGCGATCTGCTCTCATCTACACTGGCTCCTTCCTCAAATTCCTTCCTCCTCACCAACAACCCCACGCTCGTTTTTCCTCGTTGGCCCCACGCTCTTTCAACTCCACCACGCTCTCTCCGCAGCACTCCGCTCCTTGCACGCTTTCGATAAGTTTCGCCAGCATGAACACTGTTCGCGCGCTCGCCCTTGCCGCAGTCGCTAGTAGGTACTTCTTCAAACACTCCGGGCTTCCCCTATAGATGTCTCCATCGCGTGCAGCCACGCGCGAGGCAAGTGACAATCCCAGGTACTCATGCTGACACATAGGAGCTGGCGCTGCTGCCGAAGCCATGCACAACGGCATTCCTCAGGATAAAGTCATCGAGATACTACCCAGGGTCGCTCGCGATGACACCTGTGCCGAGCTTCCAAAGCTTTGCACCGGGCCGGCCATGATGTACGGCTACGCTACAACTGTCGTTTACCTCTGCCCCGAGACTACTACCACCCGCGAGCCCTCCACGGTGCATGTCACCATCACGAAGACCACGACGGTGACGCCGCTGCCCGAAGTCGAGCCCACCGATGGTCCTTCTCGCAGTTCTGTTGTGTATGTAATAGCTCACTGACCCGCTGCCTTGTGCGCTGACCATGTAGGGTTGCTCCTGCTCCCGTTTCGACTGAGGAGCCGGACACGACGGCTACGATCCACTCCACGTTGACTAAGTACAAGACCATCACTCTTGTCGTCAACTCAGGTGATCCTTTGGATGCGACTACCCCTCCTGCCGCCGTTTCCATCACCGGCTACCTCTCAGCGACCATACCAACGGAGCTGTCGTCTGCCACTCATCCTCTCCCCACTGAGACTGAGGAGCCTGTCTACACCATCCAGACCTCCACGAACCCAGCTGTGACATCGACTTCTGGCTACAACTTCCCCACCATGGCGCCGCCTGTCATCAACGGCACCACTACCGGTATTTTCTACTCTGCTCCCTTCGCCAACTCCTCGCTGGTTCAGCCTACTCCGTTCTTTCCCAATACAACCTCAGCTCACTCACACTACGCTCTCCCTACCCTGAGCGTCGTGAACAGGGCTCCTGAGGCTAAGGAGACTACCAACGGCGCTGCAGGAAAACTCGGTGCTTCTATCGCTGCACTCGCCTTCGGCATGGTGGTAGTGGTCTTTGCCGCTTAAGCGCTTCTTAAGTGCCTCTGTATGGATGCGTATGCAAAAGCACTGTTACGCTTACGACTATACCATTTTGGGCGTCATCTGGGGGACTGAGATACGATAGGATATGTGGCATCTTCCTTACGGATGTAAGTTGCGATCTGGGATGTACAATACTACGATGATGGTAACTGGTGTTCATTCATCTTCAAAGAACATGGATCACGTCGGATAGCCGTAAGTGAATGATCATACTTTTCACGAATCGTCTATCTGCACGTTATAAAGAGCCACTGGCCTTGGTGAGAAGCGGCAGAAACTTGTCCTGTGTTGCTTATATGCGTGCAAGGAAGTACGTACCAAAGTAAGACTGAACTCTCATGCTGTTCTACTACAAGAAACCGAAAGCAATGTGACTTTTTTTTATTTCACAGACAAGGCGAAAGGCAGCGGCCCATGGTTGTCCGCTTGGGCCACATCTGAAATATCACAGCAGAGCTCCATAGAATGCTCCATCTGATTTTTCGTGGCCCGACCCAGCACAGGAAGATGTAGCCAGGTAGTGCGTAAACCGATCCAAGGCAGACATGATGTAGCTCAGCTATCCTTTCAAGTGTTGTCGACGTGTGCGTTGTTGAAGAAGGAGCTACTCAGATAATGGCAGAAAGTTCTTAGGGCATCAGCGGTAACATGGCGATATGCAGTTTTTGGTTTAGGAATGTGTAGATAAGCGACAGACATGGCTTTGACCTTTATGCCCTTTTTGAGGACAATTGCGAACTTTGGAAAACAGACAGACGCTCCATTATCCACTCCTGATAAGCATTTTGTGGCCATAGACCAGTTTTGACCCAAGCAGCGGTTAAGTTGTTGGAGTGAGGAAATGGGAAGCGTCATTTGTAGATTTTGACAAGGCAGAAAGGAAGCAGCACATCTGCGTGCAATTGTGCTGATTCACCAGCCAATCACGCGTACCACTAGGCGATTTGGAAGATAATGTTGAATAGATAGAACAGAAGCACGGCTCATATAGACCGCAGAGGAGGCGCTCGCACATGTAGAAAGTTCGACAAACTTCTTCCATGAAGTGTGATCGGCGTATCTTTGACACAAACGAGCGGCAGACCAACGTATCATTAGTAGGAGATGTTCATTTCAACGACAAAACCATACGCAGCGACGACGACTTTTTTTTTTTCGAAGTAGCAATGTCATCGAAGTGTTTGGCGGACGCAGAACGTATCTTCTTACGGAGGGCGAGTGATAGGCGCAAGTAGCAAGGTCGTAAGCCTCAGACAAGTGGGAAATGGGCAAAGACAGCTCACGACACATCTTTGTCGCATATGAGTTTTCATGAGAGACAGACAAAGCAGAGCATAGAACCATGGCTTGTTGTTTTTGAGAAACTCGAAACCCATGTATCTGACAAACTCTACCTTCAAATTGGAAGAGTGAAAGCGGGTGTGGAAGAGAAGAAGAGAAGAAGAGAAGAAGAGA